TTGGTTCCTGGGTAGACATTTTAGACTTGTTTGTTCGTTTTGTGTTTGTGCCCAGGGCCTCACACACCACTGAGATACACTTTCAACCCAAGGATTTTAGACATCCTAGTTCCTTAACAGTCCACGAACCACTTAAGGACAGTGTCCATTTCCTACCAAACAGATCTTTTTCTCAGCCCTACACACCATAAGCTGCCCCTACCCTATGGATGGATGAATTCAGGTTCGGTTCTTTTTTCCCTTTCTTCCCAAAATAGTCTCTCTATGGAACCTGGGCTAGCTTCAAAGTCTCCTCCATCCTCTTGCCACAGCCTCCTGAGTATGCACCAACATGCTCAGCTGATTCTTTTGGTTTTTCTGACAAAGCCTTACTATATAGCTAAGGAAAGCCTTTTATTCAACTGTCACAATTACAAGCACTCAAGACCTTTTGTAGTGATGGGGATGGAACCTAGGGTTTTAGCACATGCTGAACGGGTTTTAGCACAGTATTGAACAGCTGTTCAATACTGAAGGCTAGGTCATCACCAACTAATTCAAGGAAAAGCAAACTAAGCAGAGCAGAATGGGGGGGGCCTGTAGCTGTAGCACAAGCTACCCCAGAGGCGGAGGTAGGAAGACTTTAGCCCAACAGCTTGAGTTTAAGATGGGTCTAGGTAGTACAGTGAACTCTTGTCTCAAAGGGAGAAGAGAGGGCAGGCCTTTCAGGCAGGCAAACAAATTAAAATTGTGGATCATCATGGCGGTGCATACCTATAATCCTAAAATTGGGGAGGCAGAGGCAAGAGGATCAAGAGTTCAAAATCAAGTTCAGCTACAGTGTTAGAAACCAGCCTTGGCTACCTGAAACTATCTCAAAAAATCAAAATAGGGCTGGCAAGATGGCTCATCATGGTAAAGGGGCTTGCTGCCAAGCCTGATAACATGAATTCCATCCCCAAGACCCATATGATGGAAGGATTCAATTCAGTTGCCTGCTGACTTCCACATGCATGCATACATAACACATGGCTGCCCACCTCACAAATTAATAATAATAAACAATTGTGAATAAAAGCTACTTCTGGATGGTGATGGCATAAGCCTTTGATCCCAGCACTAGGGAGTCAGGCAGATCTCTGTGAGTTCAAAGCCAGCCTGGTCTAGAGTGAATTCTAGGACAACCAGGGCTGTTATACAGAGAAACCCTGTCTTGAAAAACCAAAAAGAAAAGGCTTTATAGATTTGAAGACTGATGAACTACTTAATCTTCTGGGTTTCTGATTTTGTGTGTGGGAATGTGGATGAGCTGGTGCACTTGTCTGTGTATGCACATGTGGAAGACAGAGAGGCTAATGTTGGGTATCTTCCTTTATCATTTAATCTTTTGAGTTTTCTTTAATTTTATGTGTAGAAGTATTTGTGCATGTATGTATGTGTTCATATGTATGCAGGTATGATTGTGTACCACGTGTGCATTGTCCAAAGAGTCCAGAAGAGGATGTCAGATCCCCTGGAACTAGATTGACAACCCTTAGCCACTGTGTGGGTGCATGGACTAGAATCTGGAAGAGGAGACAATGCTTTTAACTTCTGAACCATCTCTCAACTTCCACCTTATTTTTTTAGGTTTTAAAAAAAGTTATGTGCCCAGGCGTTGGTGGCACATGCCTTTAAACCCAGCACTCAGGAGGCAGAGGCAGGCAGATCTCTGTGAGTTTGAGGTCAGCCTTGTCAACAGAGTGAGTTCCAGGACAGGCTCCAAAGCAATACAGAGAAACCCTGTCTCGAAAAACCAAAAAAACAAAAAATAAAAAATATTATGTGTCTATTTTATATCTGTATACATGTGTGAAGGTGCCTGTGGAGGCTAGAGGCATTAGATCCCCTGGAACTGGAGTTACAGGAGGTTGTGAGCCCCTTGAACATAGGTGCTAGCAATTGAACACAGGTCTGTGCAAGAGCAAATTATATCCTTAACTATACTGAGCCATCTCTCCAGCTCTCTCCCGCCTTATTTTTCGGGATAGGGATGGATATTTTGGCTAGACTGGCTAGTCAGGGAGCCCACAGGACCTTCCTGTCCCTAACCTCCAGCCTGTCCCCTGCCTCCTGTCCCTGAACTCACAAAGATGAGCTGGGATTAGATACATGCCACTATGCCATCTTCCCCACCACTATTGTGTATGGTACTAGGGATTGAGCCTGCGGCCCTGAACAAGCTAAGCAAGTGCTCTATAGCTGAGCTACATTTCCCGCCCTTTATTTGTATTATGTGTGGCACATGTTTGTGAGTGTGGGCATGCACAATCCATGGTGCCAAGTATGGAAGTCAAAGGACAACTTAGAGGCTAAAGTCAGTCTTTCCTTCCATCATGGGTCCTGGAGACAGAGCTCAGGCTATCAGGCTTGCATGGCAAGAGCTTTTACCTGCTGAGCTATCTTGCCAGCCCTATGTTTTATTTTGAGACTGGGTCTTAGAAAGTTGACCAGGCTGCTGTTGCACTTATGATCTTCCTGCCTCAGCTTCTCCAGTAGCTGAGATTACAGGCCTGTGCCATCAGGTCTGGCTTTGACTTTTTGTTCATTGGTGGTTTGGGATTTTTTGTTTGTATTCTTTTAAGACAGGATCTTGCTTCAGCCCAGGAAGTCTTAAGGATTTATGACCCTCCTACATGCAGAATTACCCAGCTTTACTGTTATTTTATCATGTATGATTTTATTATGCTTCCTTTTTCAGACAGAACTTCAGATAGTTCAAGCTGTCCCTGAAGTCACTATATAGTCAAACATGACCTTGAACTGCTAATCCTTCTGCCTCGAATTATAGGCATTTGTCACACTGGTTTATAAGGTGCTAGATATCAAACCCAGAGCTTTATATATTGTAGGCAAGCACTTTATCAACTAAGCCATACCTCCAACTGTAGGCATTATATTTTCATTTACTTATTCCTTGTTTTGAATCATTGAAGCACTAAATGTTGCTTAAGCTAGCCTTGAATTCATGGAATTAATTGATGCTCTGCCTTAGTATGCTGACCAAGTGCAGTTCAAGTATATGACATTCCAGCCCGCTGGTCCTATAATGGTGCAGCCATGTAAAAGATACATAATTATTAGTTAGCAGCTAGCCACCAATGCTACTTAAGACAGGGTGGCCAAGGGTTGAGAATTGTGAACTATTTTATCATTCTTTCTGGTTATATGTGTGTGTGTAATGGAGTTCTCTATATGACAAAGTTTTTCTTTTCTTTTGAGACAGAGTCACATATAGCCCAGACTAGCCTTAAACTTCCTATGTTATCTTGATCTTCCTGCCTCCACTTTCCAAGTGCTGTTACTATAGGCATGTACCACCACACCTGGCTTCCATAGGGTAACATTAAATCTTTGAATCCCCATGAGTGTTCTGTTGCCCTGTGGGCAGACCATCTTACTACTGCAGTTCCCAAGGTGGAAGGGCTATACAAGCAGCGATGAAACTTTACACAGCTGGAGTGGCAGGGCAGCCACTTACATAGTCCCCAAGCAGTTTCAGACACACCAGTATACACTTCCAGCAAAAACAAAAACAAAAGCTCCCAGGTGTGCTTACATATAGGGGGGTCAGACCAACCAACCCCTTCCCTGACTCATACCCCTCTTCTGGGCGAAGAGCAGCAGGAGACAGGTGACACCTTTGAGCACTTCAGCCATGACCACAGCAGTGGTGGCAAAGAAGCGGTCACCAGGCAGTGTGCGAGCATATCGGATGCTAAGGATGAGGGAGGCGTTCTGGACCACCAGCACAGCTAAGGATATGTACTTGAGGCGCCGGTGAGCTGTAGGGAGTGGAAGGAACACAGAAGGATGGGGTCAGAAGCTGTTGAGGTACAGCCACCCACCTCACCCCTCTTTTCTCAAAAACCTCCCAGGCACTGGAACTTCTCTACCTGCCCATCCCGAGTCAATGAGAATCTGATTCCCTACCAGTTTCCACACCCTCAGTTACTGGCAAGTGTCAGACAGGGAGAATCAGGCCTCATTCTGACCAGCTCTTAATCTGAAATCCTTGGTGAGGTGTGAATAAATGTACCTGAGTAGGCCCTTACACACATCCACTTCTCCCTCCCCCAGGGAAGCAAGTCTTTCTCAGACAGCATTCCCCATATTTAATGCTTACTGCCTATATTGCTGCACTAAGGGATTCACATGGATTCTCATCATTTGGTTTCTGAAGGTACTGTGAAAAATCCCATTTTGTGGATGAGCAAATTGAGGATTTACATGAAGTGATTTTTTTCTATCCCAATATAATGAATGGGACAATTGTTTAAGATGCTCACTTCCTAAGGATTGTTCCATTTTCCCATCTCATCCAATGGTTACCCAGTAGTCTGACTACCTTAATCACATAAGGAAATACTTCCCTACTCCATATGGCCCATCCTCCCTCTGCTGCACACCCTGCTCCCAGCCAAAGAATAATTCTTTGTTCTACCCACACTCACAATGAGCTCTCTCTGCTATATAGAAGGACTTGGCACCCTCAGAATGTTCTTTCCCTGACCTATAAGGAAGGAACCCTCCCACCTCAGCATAAATAGAACTACCTCTGTTTGGATGGGACATCCCCAGAACAATCTCTCCATGTAATGAAGGACAGCCTCATACTCAAAATGGATCCACTAGTCAGACAAGGATATGCCCCACCCTGACAATTTATAAGGTCCTTTTATAAGGAAGAAGCCATCACCCTAAGAATCGCCTCTCCCTTCTATAAGGAAAAACTCTCACCCCAGAATCGTCTCTCCCTTCCAACAATTATCAACTACCCACACCCCTAGAACGTTCTCAATGGCCAGCCTCCTCAAAAGGAAATCCCATACACATTCACAAAGGTCTTTATTTCCAAGTCTAGGACCCCTTCCACAAGCACCCACAAAACGACCGATTACTGCCGGCAAGGGACAATGGTCCGTTCTCTCCCCTTCTTCCCACAATACTCACACACACACACAAACACACACACACTCACTCACTCCGTGGGTTCACACGAGATACCGCTGTCACTTCAGTCAAGGATCATCCCACCCCCAAGGATCCCGATCTCTGCCCGGCCAATTGCTCTGCCTCATGTCATCTCACCCGCTGTAGCTGACCCAGGCTCCAGCGCACCAGCGGACACGGCCCCTGGCCCGGCCGCCGCGGTGGATCCGCCAACCCCAACCGCTGCCATGTTGGCATCTGCCCGTCCCGTCCCCTCGGCAACAGCAGGCTACTTCCGTATCCATCACGTCCGCTTCCGGACCTCCGGAGTGGAGGGCGGAGCATTAGCTGGGACTGGGAGGTGGGTGTTCTTAGTCCGTTCCAAACCCGATTCTAAAATGGTAGTTTTGGGCTTCCCAAATTCCATCAAAACTGTTGACCGAGGGCACCGCAGACCTCGTCTCCCGCAGCCCTTCTGTTGGCACATCGCGACACTAGACCCGGCCCATACCTCCCGTTTGCCTGCCTCACTGACCCCGAATGTCCATACCACCACCAGCCCATACCACCCCGTGGTTTCATTGGTTCCGTTGCTCCGCCATCTCGGGTTTTTTTTTTTATTGGAACCTTCAGATGGCACCACCCTTTTCGCATGAGAAACTCAGCTTTATTCCCAGGTCCCAGCCAGGTCCCGCCCTCTAAGGGCCGGAGACCAACTGGGAGGAATCGGACTTTCTAGAAGGCGGGGCAAGTGAGCTATAAGGGCTACTGCTAGATTCAGAGAATGCCCTGTTGAACTAGAGAAGGGAGAGCTAATCACTGTAATAGAGGAAAATGATGGGCAGGGTTCAGGACAATTGACGCTAGGATTAGAAAAACCAAGGGAGGTGAGTTTAGGTAGATGGGAGGAGCACGAAAGGTAAAGACAAAATTAAGGTTTAACGAGCTACACAGAAAGTACTAGAAAGATTCCAGTTGGAGCCTGGGATTATTTTTCTGCCAGTAAATCCCAGCACTCCAAGTTTGGGCTTCAACAGACCCCATCTAAAAACAAAACAAGAACTGTCAGACTGGCCCACTCCCATGACTAGGTTTTTCTTCAGGCATCTTCTAAACTCAGCAGCATACAGTAAGTGTACCTCTATAAATGGCCACTCACTTGTGACTTCATTATTTATTAAATAGGTTTCCACACATGGCTTTTTAAATAATCCAGGCAGGGGGAGAAGGGACAGGAGGGCACACTTGCAGCTCTCCTACAGCCAGTACCTCATTATTTACATTTTAGTCACTGGACAATCCTGGCTCAGGAGGAGGCAGCAAAAGCTGGAGGGGGGGACCCCAGGAGAACACACAGTAAGACTTATTTCCTCCATCTTATCCCCCCAAAACCATCCATCCCACCCTAGTGTCTGGTGGTGTCCGGTGATGTCCATCTCCCATATTCCTTCCCAAATTATGGAAGTAAGGTTCTTCTCACCAGAATAAGAGCACTTGGGATAACAGTAGGGTCCCCTCACCAAACAAACAAACAAAAAGAAAAAAAAAAGAGGGGAAAAAAAAAAGCACTGGGATACTAATTAATAGGGCTTAATAATGCTAAACCTTCTCCAGAATAGTCATCATTTCTGGGCTAAGGCAGGCAAGCAGCAACTGAATGAGATCCCAGGGTAAGGGCCCTTTTAAAAGCTAAAGAGCAGCTGGGGTATTTTAAGGAAAGAAGCACCCTTGCCCGAGTGAGAGCATTTGAACTAAGTGTCTAACTCTGTGGTAGTAGTATAGAGGGTGCGAGGGTAGGGACTACAATGTCAGAATAAGAATCTTAGGGCCCAGAAGGGAAGGAATCCAACCAAATGAACATCCTTAACAGAACAAGAAACAAGTAACTCCCCCTCCCAAATAAGGGACCACAGGTTCTGGGAGGAGAGGAGAGCTCCTTCACAGGATTGGGACAGGAACTGGGCAGACTTGGCTATCTTCTGACCCCTGATCCTTATTCCCTGACCTTAGTAATACTGGATTTTTAACAACCTGTATAACCAGGTAAACAGATGTCCATCTATCCCTGTAGCATGACCATGGGATTCCAACCAGAGCCTGGCTGGGCCTAGGGAAGCAGGGACCAGGGCAAGGGGGTGGGGCTTCCTTTGGAGGGATTGATGGGTGCTTCTTCAGCTGGTGTTTGCATCCATGGGTCCAGCAGAATCTCCTCCAGTGAGGGTCGAGAACAGGGTTTAGGAGCCAGGCACCGTCGGATTAGGGCACAGCAATCTGTGGGGTCAAGAAGCACAGGGCGGTGGAGGGGGGGGATTAGCAGTCAGCAAAAGGTACTCAGCCCTGGGAGGAATGAAGCCTGTTGGGCTGTGGTCAGTGAGGGCCTCACCTGGGGAGACATGAGCAGGGAAGTGGAGCTCAGCCTCCAGAATCTCCTGGTCCCTCTCGAAGGGAATGTCCCCACAGACCATGTCATAGAGGAGGACACCGAGTGACCAGACAGTAGCCGGGAGGGCGTGGTACTGGTGTCGAGAGATCCACTCTGGAGGGCTGTACACCCTTGTCCCTGCACACAAGCCAAGGGTTACATCTTTCTCTGATGATGCCCTTCCTCAACCCCTGTGTCTCTAGAAGTATGAACTGTATATTAGGAGATATCTACTTGCTGGAGCAGTCAAACTTCAAATTTAATGGCAGAGTCCTATCAGCAGCAAAATAGCACCTCCAGGTTACCAAAAGCAAAACAAAAAAACCCAGCTACAAAAGAAAACAAACAAAAAAACCTAATACTAACAAGATCCCCACACTAAAAAAATAAGAGCCCACAAGGTTAAGGAGCTGCTGTAAGAAGGTGGACCTTATCAGGGATCTTGGTTTATGAAACCAGAACCTTAAAGGGCATGATATAGGTCAAAGGTTACAAGGACAACTCAATACTAAAGCTCAAAAGCCAGAAGAATTAACGATTAAATACAGCCCTCCCACCAGAAGTTGTAGGGAAGAACGCTTACCATCAAAGTCCGTGTACGGTTCATCATGCAGCAGGGCACCAGAACCAAAATCAATGAGTTTAATACAACCCCGGCACAGGTCTATTAGGATGTTCTCATCCTTGATATCACGATGGACAACTCCACGGGCATGGCAGTGCTGGACAGCTGCCACTACTTGGGTAAAGAAGCTGCGGCTGCGGCTTTCACCCAGCGGGCCCTTCTCTGTGATGTAGTCAAAAAGATCCTGGGCAGGCATAGGCCGCTCAAGGACCAGCATGAAGCCCTCTGGTGTCTCAAACCAGTCAAGCAGGCGTATCACACCGGGATGCCCATTGCCTTCGCCCACCTTCCACAGCAGTGCTACCTCAAGTGGGCAACTGACTGAGTCTGACTGAGGTGAGAAATAAAAAGAAAAAAAGGTAGCTATTACATCTGTAGCCCTATTGTCAATATATAACACTTTATTTTCAGAGCACTGATTTTGGCTTCTAGCTAGCCATTTCCCTTCCTAGACCTCAGTATCCTCTCAAAGGCTCAAATCCACTGGAGTGAAATGAGCAGAGGCCATATACATCTGGCATGTTCAGTAAATATTTGAATAAGTTGAAGTGTTTACCTTTTTAGGGGGAGGAAGTTGGAGACAGGAACTTTACATAGACCAAGCTGGCCCGGAACTCAGATTCACTGCCTCTGTCATCAAAGTGCTGGGATTAAAGTGTTCACCGCCATTCCTGGCCTTCAGAGTGTTTTCTAATCTAGTCCCTCTGCAGAAGCACTATCATGAGACATAGTTACCTGCCTTGTTAGCCAGCATTGAGATCAGGGCAGTTTTTATGCATACTAGACACTCAATAAATGGTTGTAAATGGAAGTACTCTGCAGTTAAGAGGGGCCAGCACCGAAAAGTAGTTAAACACTACTACTATTGTATAAGTGTTGTGTAAGTGATGAGGAACCAGCAGTGCCTCGTAACAGAATAGAACATAACTCAGTATGCTAGACAGCGAGCAGCTAGTAGAAGACATCTAGTACACACTGAATTCTAATAAATGTACTTTGCAAAGTACCTATAATTATGCCACTGCATAGATGTTCTCTGGCTTTTAAATTTTGTCTCATTTGAGACAGGCTCTAGCCATGTAGCCCAAGTTAGCCTCAAATTCAGAGAAATCCTAGTGCCCCAGCCTCTTGAATATTGGGATTACAGGTATGCACCACCAACCCTGGCTTTCATTTTTTAAAAATAGCTTACAGTGATTAATTGCAAAGGACCTTGCACAGAGCAAACATTTAATGAATACCATGTTTTGTCAGTCTTTACTAATCAACTAGCACAACTCAATATCGCCACCCCCCACACCTGAACAGGCAGTGCACAGGCAGTGTCAAGGGTCTTACTGCCTCAGATGAGGCCCTTTACAGGCCCACTAACTTGCACAGTCGCAGACAGGTTTTCTCACGGAGATGCAAATTCAGCTACTGCGCAGGCTCACCCTCCCTCTCTGTCCCAGGGACGACATAGACTGTCTGAAATGCTCGCCAGGGGGAGCTCTCTTACCTACAATTTACCCAGACCCGCCCTGATGTCCGTTAGCGTTCTCGGGGTGGCAGGAGAGAAGCAGCCAGCATCACCATGACAACCAGTGACCTAGGCCCCTCCTTCCCCACCAGCATGTACTGTGAACAGCCCCTGAAGCAGTGTTTGGAAGAAGGATGCAAAGGGAGAGTTTTAGAGGAGAATCCAGAGCTCTGGGGAAATCGAGGTGAAATCAGAACTATCACATAAAGGCAGTAAACACAGGCTGGTGGGGTTCTCACGGTTTCAGGGCCCAGGGAATCATGTATCCACTAGAAAAAAAATCAGGGGGTGAGTGCGTTGATGGAATCCATGGGTCATGACGTACACCAAAGACACTCACCACAGTGGACCAGCCTAGCACACGATTCCGGGAAATTACTTTGATGGCCACCTACAAAAAAAAAAAAAAAAAAAAAAAAAAAAAAGATGAGATAAGGAGACCAGCCGGTGATTCCAGATTCTTCTTAATCTAGACCCTCTGCCCAACTGCAGTCTCTCCACTCTAGTATTTCTAGTTCCCATACATATCACACCCACTGGAGCTCGGATACCTATCCAGCATTCTGAAGTCCACAGAAGCAAGTTCACTCCAGCCATCTAACATCTTTACTCCTGAGCTTGTCAGGAAAGCACTAAGACCCCCTGAAATCCAGAATAGACCTATAGTTTTTTTCTTTTGTTTTCTCTCTTTCTCACTGTCTCCCTACACCACCCACAAACCCTATGATGTTGGTTTTGAATTCAGTGCTTATGAATGATGGACAAACCATCCACCATTGACCCATATCCCCACATTCAAATTCTAAGTTTTTTTTTTTTTTTTGACATCGCATGCCCTCCTCCATCATCC